TCTTTCTCTGCAGCCATTGTTGCTGGTCAGAACTGTTGATTTCTTATTCTTCCCATGTAGATAATAACTTCCAGGGCTTGTGAAGCCAGCATGCTTTGAATAAAATACTGGAGCTGGAATGTTGTTTTCATTTGGTATGGTTTTTAGAAACAACTCTCTGTTTTTTTTTTTTTTCCCTTTCTGTTTTTTCTTAGACAAGCAAATGTTAATAAAAGCTCAACAATTTCAGACTCAGATAAGGAAAGTCCAGTCCCTTGTTCCTGGGCATAAACAAGGTACTTTGCTGGGGTCACGAAGAGATTGTACTTGCCTGTGCCCAAGGTGGCACAGCAGAGCTGTGCTCAGTGGGCAGTTTTTCACCTTGTTTTAGTGCCGTATTTGTTGGCCACTCCAAGGGAGATGCTGCCCTCCTCATGGAGGGGGAGGTTGATCACCCGCATTTACAGGAGACCTCTCCAACATAAGAACTTGGGTGCATAAAGAAGTTGCATGTCATCTCACTATAAAAGTTAAGAGTTAGAAGCTTTCTGGAGATCGAGCCGAGCAGCAGAGCAAATTGAGTGAGTTGCTTTTCCCTGCTGTTGCATTACAGACAAATGTTATAGATTGTTTTAACTGACTCATCAAATTGTGGGTATTTGGCTCTTCCCTTCCATCATTGCAGCCCCGAGTGTCTCAGGGCTTCCTCTTGCACCCAAGCCAGCTGATGGGTTTCCAGCTGGCAGTCTGGGTCTTCCCTCACCAGATGTGCTTTGTAGGATGTTGTTTATTTGACAGAGGAGACCCAGACGCGCATGAGAGAGAGCTCTTTGCGGGCTTAGGTCGCACAGGGACCAAGTGTTGCTGGGCTCTGAGTTGAAGTCCTAGAATCACCGAGAGAGCATGTCTCGTGTAGTTGTGGAAAAATGAATGAGCCATTCACAAATACTCCATGAACCCCTGTCTCTCTCTTCTGCTTTCATGCTAGTGGGGTTTTTTTAACATGAAATCCTTTGAATTGCACTCATCTTTGATGCATAGAGACTCATCCATGTGACTTACTCAACAGTTATTCAGGGGTATGCTACAAAGTGCCTTAAAGCCCATTATGCTCACTAGAAGACCGAAGCAGACTCATGAGGCCTTCAAGATTGAAAAGCCTTTCCAGACTACCCAAAAGCAGTTCTGCTTGCCTTGAGCCAGTCTGAGGGAAGACTCTTTTAGATTATGGTTGGATTGGTCTTAGCACACTGAAGAGCTCAAATCTGAGTACCTGGATGCCAGGTACTGTTGAGTAGTTCTGGGTTAGGTCTGATACGAGGTAGCACCTGTTTTCCAGGTCTCTGGCAAAAGATGGCATTTGGAGGAAAGTCTTGTAGGATTTTTAGGTTAGCCCTGAGTTTACCTAAAATATGCTTTACCAGATCTGGTCTGGAAAACCAAAACACTTTTACTAAAAAACCCCAGTGACTGGTCCAATCTCTAGATTTCTAGTATTAGACACTGGGTTTTTTCCACCACAGGAAAGCCGTATTAAGCCTCAGACTTGGAAAAAAGTAAATGAAATTGTCATGGTTTGTTTCAGCTGGTAATTCTAACTACAGCACCTGTAAATGTAATGCTCATTTATAGCTAAAGTGCTCAGATGGCATTTAATCTAAAACTAGAACTGCAGTGCAGAAATACACGTTCATGATTCAGGACACACTTACATTTTCTAACTTGAAGGTGAGCTGTAAAGCTAAACTGGAAATTGAATTAAGCTGGGAAGTAAATGCTGAATAAACCTCATGATTTTTCCTTTCTGAATCGCGCTGGCCTTTCCTTGCTTAGTGGAAGCAGAACAGGCAGTTGCTGGACTTCACAGATTGTGCTGGTGTTTGACTTAGCCTTGCCATTCATCTCTGCAACTATGTCTCAAGGGCATCCGTGTTGTGTAAACTAGCTTTCTTCCAAGATGACAGAGAAGCTACTAGCTGTTCACACTGGCTTTAGCATATCGAGGCTGCTTAGGTCGCAGTGACGTTTCAGTGACATCCTTAGGATGCTGAGGAGTGGAATGGCACGTGTGTCCCATTCAGGTACTGCATCCCACCTTCTTGCACTCTCCAAGTTGCCCTCTGCAAGGTGGAGTTTCACGCACAACTTCAAAGGGCAAAAAGAAAGGAAAAAAAGAAATGGAGAGGGCAGAATTGCCTCTCTGTCTAGCAAATCCCTTGAAGAAATGTTGGCTTTCTCAGAAGGTGTTTATAACCTCTAAAAGCCAGCATGTTGCTGCAGACCCATGGTACCAAGGATGGCAAAGCTGAAACAAAGCTAGGTTTAAAGGCTGTGGGGAATGCTTTGCTGCCCTCTCCACGCCCTGCTGTTTGGAGCAGGGACTGTGGTGGTTTCTGCTGCTGTGCTATAGGTAGGCAGAGTGCTTCAGTCAGTGCGGTGTTTGCTTTGTTTCCCTGGTAAAAGGGAAAGAAAGATTTTGTGTGCATTATCAATTGCTTCATTTTTCATGTAGGACGGTTTGTGTTTCCAGTAACTGGTTTCATTTTAAAACAAGGCGAGGCTACCAGTGTTTCAGTAAGCATTATTTGTATATTAGTTAGGCAACTTTTGTTTTATTAATGAGTATAATAATGAAAGTGCAGGTTGCTGAGTAGAAGCAATGAGTGTTTTTATTTAAAGCATAGCAGGCATCGTATAATGCCAATGAATGCGTTATTGTCACTGTAGGCATGGCTGGTCTGAACTTGCCTTTGATTGGGTTATTCCAAATAGGCCCAAGCACTTCATAAAAATGTCTTTGTCAGCCTAGTTTTCCTTCCAAACCTATTCATCTCTGTCAGTTTTTAATATTAGTACCAGGCTCTTGGCTATAGTCCATTAGTACTGTACTTAATTGCTCATGTTACAGATGATTACCAATATAAAAAGCATTAATGTTTTCCCATCGTGGGGCTTTTGCTCTGTGTATGACTCGGACCATGCAGAGCTTATGAGTTGTTGTTGTTTTGGTCGTTACTTTCTGCATTTGTGCTCCTTTAATGCGCTTACCTTGCATCATCACAGAAAACTAGAGGCGTGTGTGGTTGGCGTTAGCTGATTCAGCCTGAACCTTTCCTGTGAAACTCTTACAGCCCTTGTCAGTACCCTGCATCTCTCCCTCTTATCAAGAAACCCTCAGAAACGGCTACTTTTCTGTGAAGCACTCTTCTCCGTGCTGCCTTCCCCTAATAATGCAGATGTGGTTTTCACAGGCAGGGTTTGAGGTTTCTTTCGCTTTTACACAAAACACATGATCAGCAGCTTTAATTTTCCAGCATGAACGATAGGCTGTGTTTCCGCAGTGCTGATGACGTTGTTGTTAGGGATTTTTCATAAATATTACACCACCACCCCCCCAAAAAAAAAAAACCCAAACCAAAACCCTCAACCTGCTATTTTGCAAGGTATATAAGGTTCGCCATAAAATGCATTGAACAAAACAAAACTATGAGCAATTGCCTGTTGGGGCCTTTTTCTGCCTCCAAGTCTGTCCGTGATTCATCTTGGTTTCCTCCAAAGCAAGCCTTGTGCACGAGTTATGCACAAACACACGTGGGCCAGGGAATTGTGTGCAACAGCATGCAGTAACACTTCTCAGCTTGTTTGGTGGACAGATGTGTCGGTATTCAAAGGTGTTGTGGCAGGCAGTTGGATGGTCCCGTAGAGCTGTAGCCCTCCTGGCCTCTTCAGGTGCTGCAAGGAACCTGGTTCCCTTGGAACCTCCAGCAGAGTTGGACCCAGAGCATCCCATGGGCCATGTCCTCCTCTTCAGCAGTGTGTCTCACATCCTGGCCCTCACGAGTCACTAGCGCCTTGAAAACCAGACTGTCCTGGTCAGACACAGCTGGAGAAGGGTTTATTAGGCTTCATGTTCACCTCAAATTCAGGCAGCTGAGTGGAAAAGTGTTCTGCATAGCCACAGCCACCCGGGACTTGATGAGGAGCAGATAGGTGAGATGGGTCCCCAGAGAAGGTCGTGGTGCTTCACAGTCTGGCAGGGTGGCTGTGCCTGTGCTTTGGATACAGACTTGCAGAGGGTTTTATTCTGGCTTTGAGGGTGGTCCTTGGTCACTTGCAGAGCACCCTGCCCATCTGTCCCTTACCAGGGGACTAAGCCCGAGAAGATACAGTGTCTTGTGCAGTTCAGAGCCCGTTCTGCCATTTTTCTGTCTAAATTGCTCACATAAATATTATATATTATCAGAAACATAAGACGGGTCAAAATAAGTCCCTTCCATGGTTTCCCTTTAACAGCCGTAAAGTCTCCCTACCCTAAGGATATTGTGCAGTAATTCAATATGCAAGAGAGCCCCGCGTTCCATGCAAATGCTCTTTGGTTTTGTTAAAGCGTTTAGATAACTTTGGTAATGTGTAAGCAGTTCAGTGGAGTTTTGTAGGAAATAACAGCCAATCTTTCAGAGGGAACAAAAAAATAGGAGGCTGGTATAGCATCTACAT